TATATATATATATATATATATATATATATATATATATATATATATATACACATACATACACACACAATTATATGGATGTATATATGTGTATATGGATATATATATGTGTCTGTGAATATGGTTTTTCTTCTTATCATTAGACTAGGAAGTGGGAGAGGAAGAACTGAAAACTCTGCTCCCGTGCCTCTAAGGCTAAGCTATATAATGAAGTAACAATAAAGAAATTATTTTAACATCTGTATTATTTATTTTTAATTGTCAGAAAGACAGAATCTGTTGCGAAAGATTTATCTCTTTCACACAGGTGAGTTGGGGGGTGGGTGGGATGCCAGGTGAAACATTCCTGAAAGATAGAATCTACTAAGCTGCTATCCATAAGCATAGGGAAAATTCAGGATTTGATAACACAGAAAAAAAGCAATTTTGAGACTGGAGCCATTTCAGAGCTCAGCTATTCCCCTACGGATATAAGAGGACAAGTTGCCTCATTATGATTTTGGGTACTTACCTCATAAAGATCAATGATGACATTGCCTTCTAGTCCTCGGTTGCTCTTAACATTCTCCAAGGCTAGTGTGAAGTAGACTCCACGAACATCAGAAATGTAGAGGTTGTATGTGTCATTTTGGTTCCATTCCTGAACTGCAGCAAACACCTGATTCTCATCAGTGCTGATAATATGCATGTCCTGTTAAGGAAGATAAAAGACTTATTATTTCCAATCTTTATATTTCTTTGCCCTTTGGGACACAAAGCAATTATCATGCCTTATGCCACTGCAGGGGAAAGATCATGAGTTATGAGTGATGTTAAACAATTTTCCATTAGACCAAGCCAATGAATTATGACATTCAGGTATTCTTATTTGTATGTTTCTTAATTTTAAATTGGCTGCAGGGTGGTCAATGGGGAAGAAGAAGACAGATTCCAGAATCTTTATAGAAGTTTCATCCTACTTCATTTTTTATTTATACACTTGCACATTTTTATTGCTCTTCAAAGATTTGTAGCTTCAGAGCCTAAAGGTTTCCTTTGGCCTACCAGAGACAAAGCACAGCTGTCAAGCTAACAAAGACACTGACCCTGAGCCTAGTATTTGGTAACAGCCAGTAACAAAGGTGATCAATTTTTAATACACCCAATGCTTAAATTTAGAGCCGCTATCAATGTAACTCCTAGCTATAGATTTATTTAGTAAAGAGAAGATCTATCAAAGGGAAATGTCTTCAGTAAAAGTGTCATTTCCTATGGGCATAATATTACTACTCATAGGACTATTTCAAAAGAAAATCACAAATGCACTGAATCCATCTCGTTGCCAAGATGAAATGTAATTATAATGTTATTAGCATAACATTAAAGCAGCTTATCAATCATGTAGCCATTAAGCTTTGGTAGACATCCTCATTTTATTGCATAGGTTAAAGAAAGCAAGGATTTTCAAGTATTTGGATGGTGAATCACATATCAGCAGTCTAGCCATAATTTATTAATCATAGATATTATAGAGATTTAACAAAACAATTTATTTTGTGTATAATACTGTGAGAATCAAATACGTCATTCTTATTTTTGTAGTTGTTGAGATACATTTACCTTTGGTAGTGAATACTTGGGTAATTTTATCTTAGTAAAGGGTTCTCTTTTGTAAGATACATAGTAATTTGCTCTTCCACCAGAAGTTACCTGGATATGGATACAAAGGGATACAATTAATATTCATTTGATATATAATCCATTATTCCATAAGCAAACCTGAAAGCATTTTGCAATTGTCAACCAAAATTTCAAACCAATTGCAAACCAAAATTATTTTATAAAGACATTTAAGGTTCTATAAATGTCTGAAGAACACCATCAAGTTAAATTGCTAACTTACAATTACATGGCTCTAGCATTTCATTCTTCTAAACTTGATATGATTTTATCTACGGAGGTTCCAAATAAAGATTTAGAAAAGTAGGGGTAGAAAGCTCTTGCACCAAACCCAACTGGCTGTTAAGAAAAAGCCTTTTCTTTAGTTCTAGAAAGATTGCTTTGTAAATTGTTCTAACAACTATTAAAGCCAGACTAAACTGGGTAGCTATTGGTTAGATCAAATTATAAAGCAATCAGTTTCTAATCTTGGGAATTGCTTGCTGCCAACTTGGCTTTCTTAAGAACAAGGCATGCTATGTATACTATGTCAGTCTGATCTCTCTTTTTGAGAGCAGCCATTCTAGACAGGTCTTTAAGGACTTATATTATAAAACCCTGATGTTAAGATAAACCCAAATTACAGAAATAGTACCACCTTGTAAATGGTTCTGTGTTGACTTAAATTCCATATTAGGTATCCTTTTCACATTTAAATTTAGACAACAAGGCCTAGTCCCACAACTTGATTTGCCATTTTTGTGCATAGGGAATTCATTTATTAAATTTATATACTGCATGGCTCCCAAGGCTATAGCACTTTCCAGTGAGAAGCATAACATGAATTGTAACAGTAATCATATGCAAAGGCTACTGCAATATACTTTGTAGGAATATAAGATTTATTCATATTCAACAGAAACATGATGGAAGGTTGAAAATAAAACTCAACATTTAGAATGTGTTAAAAAATCATTGTTCAAAATTGTTGCATTTAATAACATTGCCACCCAGATATAGAAGAATGATCAAGTTTGATGAACTGAACTTCTTTTTAGATAATCAGTCAGTTTAAGAGGGTTCCCATCCTTTATTTCCTCTTCCAAGGAGAATGTCAATAGCACTTAGACTCTGTAAGCCAGTTAGAGAGGGCAGTAAGGCACTGTAAAGCAGTATCTCTCAGCCCTCTCTAACTGGCTTACAGACTCAGCATATTGTCCCCAACAAGCTGATTTTTCATTTTACCAACCATAGAAAGTTAGAAGGCTATCATAGAAGGCTGAGTCAATCTTGAGCCTGGTGAGACTTGAATTCCCAAACTGGAGGCAGCCGGCAGTCAGCAGAAGTAGACAGTACTGCATTCTAACCATTCCTCCACCGCAGTATGTAAGGAGAAGTATATAAGTGAGTTTGCTTGTTCGTTCTTTTAAACCTTATGAGTGGATTACTTCATTTGTTTAGGGTGTTTTTTTTTTGTTTCATCTGCATTAGAATAAGTCAGAGGTATCAAACTTAAGGCCCGGGGGGCAGATCGGCCCATGGGGTACTTAGATCTGACCTGCAGGGTCACCCTGGAACAGCTGGTTTTCACTGGCAGAGCTCTTGGGCCACCATAGGCACCCCTGACATGAGTGACGAATAGGTCAGACAAAACGCTGATGCAGCCCTCAAGGAAATCGAGTTTGACACTCCTGGACTAAGTGAATGAGAGTTCATTAGCTAAATCATATTGACAGATAATGTGGGAAGAAAGAACAGCGAGTGAACAATGAAGTGGTCAACAGATAATTAGATATATTTTCAGATCTTTGAGGTCAAATTCTAGAGACTTTACCAAATTGTATACTAAAGAAGTGAGGCATGAAATCCAGGGATTTCTCATACTTTCCAATAGCTTTAATTACATGGTTTTACTCAGAAGCAAGACCCAATTATTCAAGTTATCTAGGTAGGAAAGGACTCCTGGCTTTATTATGTCGCGTATACTTAAGCTTTTTATTATAGCAGATCTTTTTATATTAACAAGGAAATATGCCCTAATTAACATACATTTCTTATTTCTAGTATCACTGCAAGCAAAGTAGAATCTAATTCTATATTCTTTGGTGGGGAAATTACTGTACTAAATATAAATTAGAGAAAAATGACTTCGATATACTGTATGTCAATAATACACTGAGAATACTAAAAATTCTTCAATTGGAAAAAACATATTAATATATTTTCATTATTTTTAAAAATAAATATTTGTCAAATAGCACACTATGTGTCAGTACTATATAAGAAATACAAAAGATTTTTGTCAAAGTAATCAAATTACACTTTATTTTTAATAAAGCTCATCAAATAGTGGTTTGGTTGATTAATTGAAACACACACACACACACATACACACACACACACACACACACACACACACATTGCATCCAAACAAAATACTGCAAGATTGGACCTCTTGCTATATGAAACTTTACTAAATATATAACAATTGTCACTCTCACATTTTTTTCTTGAAAAAAAAATCCACTGTAATTTCATTGAAGAAATTATATTAAGGAATTCAAAGCAATTCATAACATATACAACTGAAATTAGAATTATAATAATGGAACCTATAACAGAACCACCAATAATAACAGAACATAACAGCTGCCTCTAAACACCACTCAGAAACTGCATTTTGTGCAAAATACAGCAGACTGTTTACTCAACAGTTGCCACTTTGCCTATTGTTTTATGGTAATTTTGTATTTTTATTTTGTTTCTTCTGTGTTTTTATATTTTATAATATGAAATGCATTAGCTTCTTTTTGATCTAATGTTATATAAAAATGATAAATAAATAAACAAGCAAAGAAATACATATATAAGCAAACAGTAAAACAAACAATCTGAAACTGCAGAAACTTCACTTCAACTACTTTTAAGCTAAATTGCGCAAATTAAAGATGACTTCAAAAATCAATTTTTGAAGACGACTTCAAAAATCAATTGACTGTTGTCGTCATATTAAAAATCCTAGATTGCTTTTTTTGTTTTAAACATTTAACTCTCCAAATAATTAATTTCAAAATAAATTATAGATAGAAATGATGAAGAAAGAGCTACATAATAATTGACAAAGTAATATAAAATTTGCATTGAATCAATGTTGATTTTTAGTCACCTCGTGAACATACTTGTTCTTGCTAATTATATAGATTTTTATTCCCTCTGGTAGATGAAAATAAACATTTATGATAACATCAAGCCCAAACCATTTTTATGTTCCATAAATCAGCTAGGGTTTCAATAGAATTGCCAAAGTTGAGTTGGGAAAATCATATCTTGAGTTTATCCTTTTAACTAGTCTTATTCCTGCAAAAGTAAATAGCAGTTGCAAACCTAACCTGTGAGTGAAAACAGACCTAGAGGGACCTCTTTAGTTTTAAGATTGCTGGCTCCAAATAAACAGAATAACAAATTATGTGTGTGAAGATCAGATACCACTTGGGAAATCCAGTAGGTTCTCACAAGTTCTGGAGTATTGGTAGTGGAAATTTTGAGTAGTTTGGAGAACCGGCAAATGCCACCTCTGGCTGGCCCTAGAGTGGAGTGGGAATAGAGATTTTGCAGTATCCTTCACCTGCACACCCACCAAGCCACACCCACAGAACCAGTAGTAAAAAAAAAATGAATTTCACCATTGGGACAGGCCTACAGTCATCATAGTAGAAATTAAATTCTGAATTATCTGATCACAGATATGGAAATCTCCAGGACAAAACAACTAAAACAGTCTATTATCATTTCAGAAATCACTCCAGTAAGATAAATATCCATTCAAAAGGGTAGTGTGTACGTCATGCACGGGTCGTATTTGCTTACTTTTCCTACTGGTTCACAAATGTAAGTGCCCATCCAAGCATTCACTCAGCCTTCTATGTATGTGCTTTGGTTTGAAATACGATGGCACAGAGCCAGGGTGAATGGGCAGGCCCACCTGCGATTTCCACTACTGGTTCAGGTGAATCAGTCTGAACCAGCTGAATACCACCTCTGAGGTCATGTTATCGCTATACCATTCCTGCCACTCAATTGGATTAGCAAATATTCAAAATTGAGCTGGGGAGGTGTCTGGTGGAAGTTTGGTCAGTGAAATTGTATTTATTTCCTGAGTCTTCCAAGAGTGGGCGGCATACAAAATTAATAAATTCAAATTCAAATTTATGCCGCTACCCCACCTTTTAGCTCTGGCCTATTGTATCATAGAGCCCAATGCACAGAGGTGGTCCTGATTTTCTACTTCCTTTTCCCTTAACCAGGTTTTCAGACATATACCAGGTCAACATGTTCATCCAGGATTTAAATCATGGATACAATCTTTTATCAGTAGCTGACCTGACAATAAGCAGTGGCTTTTTAAATTGGGGAGCCCAATACAATTTCCTTGTATTAGATTACAACTAAAAAAGAAATATTACAAGACTTCTCTTTTCCCTGCAATGACCAGGTTGCACACTCCCATTTTATTTTCCCCTTTCACTTGTTATATCATTACTTATTGTATTCATGTTCTATTTTTCTTCACCCAAGATAAAATAATTCTTCAATGGAAGAGTGGTTATTCTGTAAATCCTAATAGAAAAATATACCAGGAGACAGCAACATCTTTTATACTTTGCTTTCATTGACTAAAATCAGCCTTCAGTTCCATTCCAAAAGATTGACTTTGATAGAAGCTCGCTGTTACATCTATTGACTGATGGCTACTTCCACTAATCAAGATGCTGCATGAAAACACAGCCACTCAAGTTAAGTTCAATAATCATGGCTATCTTACTGCTAATATTCCAGTCAGCTGAGAAGTGAAACAGAGATCTTTTTTAGATTCTCTACTGTATAATATTTATATGAATTAAATGGTTGCTACTCTTACCAGAAAAAGAATTTCATCATACTAAGCTTAAGCAAATATTTGGCAATGCTGTTTTGTTGCTTACAAAGACAAAGGAGAAGTTTGCAAATTTTACCACAATTGTGTAAAGAGCTTACAATTAATTATTCCAAGA